AAAAAAAAAAAAAAAAGAAGGGGGCTCATTTGGCCTATTAGAGTGGTCCTTTCTAGGACCTTTCCAACTGCAGTGAAGGGGACAGGGGTTCACGCTGGCTAGAGGAGCAATGGGGGAGGGGGAGGGAAGATGGCGCCTGTGTTAAGCGGAGAGACTGCTTCTCCCTCTCTCGCTCCCCCTGCTTGTGCTCCCTCTCTTGCTATGTCTCTCTCTGTCAAAATAAATAAATAAAATCTTTTAAAAAAGAAAGAAAGAAATACCTACCATCCGTATACCATTGCAGGGCAAATAGAACCATACGTTGTTTCACAATTTACAGGGGAGATCCTTTATACTTTCAACAGATCTCTCCCAATTCTGACAGTTGCCATGTTTCCAGCCTTTGGAAATTGAGGGAAGCCCAAGGCCTCTCTTGTCTCTCCAGGCCCCCAAGTTCTGTGCTTATAGCAAAGCATCCCTGAGCCTGGTCTGGGAAGTCCTTGGCAGGAAAGGTGGAGAGGCCTCAGAGCCTGTTCTACTACTTTTTAAGTGGGTTGGTACCACTTTAATCCTGTCCCAAGTCTGACTGGCACCATTTAGCTTTTTAAAGCGAGGTAGCAGCACACCATGCCCGTGTGAGAGATGATACCATCTGTTGGCTCCCTGGAAAAGGATGTGATTCAGGCGAGAAAACTTGGGGTGAGGAAAGGATTTTCCCAGGTTCCCATGACTAACAGGTGGTACCAGGGACAGAACTTCTTCGAAGGTCCATCTGACTCTGCCTCGCCACCTCCGTGGTACCTACTAGGCACTTAACTGACCTTGTCTGGATGAGTGAATGAACAGACGGACGGACGAGCGATGGGTCCGGAGTCAGCATATGAGTAAAGTTCTGTTGGTTACGATGGAGTTGCTGCTATGGTGTGTGTGCATGTCTTCACCACCCTCCTACCCGAGTCAGGACCATGAAGACCCCTCTGTTGTCACTGTTCACATTTCCTGGTCACCAAGTCCTGCCGTAACTATTTTGAACACGCCAACTCTTCCCTTTTTCTACATCTTGTCATCTTAGCTCCTTCCTTTACCACGTCCCACCTTGCCCTGGATGACACTCTCTGATGTGGCCCTTTGGCTGATAGTCTGTCCCCACGATGCCACCAGAGGTCACTTCCTAAACCAGCTGCATTACATTAGAATCCTATTTAAGTACCTTCCCAGACCCTGTCACCTACCGAATATGGGACATCCTAGGAATTTATTACAATGCGTTGCAACTAGGTGCCTGGCTCCCCAAACGGACGATGAGAGATTCAAAGGTACAACCGTCCTAAGTCAGCCTGTCTTCCCCAAACCTAGAATAGTGTCAGGCACAGGAGAGGTGCGGACAAATATTTGTTAGGCAATCATCGTGTGCAGAGGTTGGGGGGATTGAACCAACAAAGGGGGACTTCTGAGTGTGCCCTCTGACATGGGGCTCTCTGTGTGTCCCCCCCGCCCCCCAGAGACTGTCCCAGGAGAAGCAGACCTCAGACTCGGACAGCCTGGGCATGGGTAACAGCTGTTCTACTCTAGGCCGCCGGGAGGCCTGCGACCACGGTAGGAGCCTCTGGGGACTCAGGCCGGAGAATGCCACAGCTGGGAGGGGCCTTGCACAGGGATACGGTGCAGAGCAGGTCCTGACGGCTCTGGAGATCTGGGGAAGGTCACCTGGCCTGTCCACACCTGCAGTTGCAGCCAGGCCCCATGCGCAGGCTGAAAGGGCCGTTGGGAAGGCTGGTGTGGGTGGGTCTGGGACTTGGGGCTCCCTCCCTTCCCCTAACCCATCTCCATGGCAACAGGCAAAGGGAAGAAGAGCAGTCTGGCAGAGCTGAAGGGTTCAATGAGCAGGGCTGCGGGCCGCAAGATCACCCGCATCATCAGCTTCTCCAAGAAGAAGCCGCTGGCTGATGACCTGCAGACATCCTGCCCCGACGAGGAGGTTCCATGCTGTGGTGGGTCCTGGGCACCGGGAGGAGGAGAGTCAGACCCTGCTGCTGTGCGCCCCTGGGCTAAGCCAGAAAACCCTCTAGGCCTCTTCCACCTTGCTCCCAGGGCAGAGGAGAGAATCCTGCCTAACCCCCACTCCATCAACAATCCATGCCTTTACATCACTTCTCTCCGGTGAGGCCCTAACACTCAGGAAAAGGAAAAGCCACCTGACTCCCCTATCTCTGTGTTCCCTGCGACCTCAGCTCCAATCACTGCCCGTCTGTGGGCCTCAGTTTCCTCCACTATGATGGGAGGAGAGTGTCTTATTTCCTCCCAGCACATAACATGCCAGGTGTGTAAGTTATAACCCAGTCTTATAAGGAAATGGATAAAAATATTTAAGTACTTACAAATGCATTCAGCGTGAGTTAAACATGGTTATAAATGCCTTCAATGTGAGTTTAACATGGTTTGGAAGGGAAGATATATTATTCTGTTTTCATTAATGCAGTGTTCCATGTACTGGACTCCAATAGAAAATTCTGTATTTTGTTGGGTTTTTTTGTTTTGTTTTTGTTTTGTTTTGTTTAAGATTTTATTTATTTATTTGACAGAGAGAGATAGCGAGAGCAGGAGCACAAGCAGGGGGCGTGGGAGGGGGAGAAGTAGGCTTCCCGCTGAGCAGGGAGCCCGATGCAGGGCTTGATCCCAGGACCCTGGGATCATGACCTGAGCTGACGGCAGACGCTTAACGACTGAGCCACCCAGGCACCCCAGAAAATTCTGTATTTTGGATATGCAGTAATATTCCCTTAAACCTGAAAAAATAGTATAAAATCACATGGCTATAAATAATTATTTTGTAACCAGTAAATCAGGGCATGTTGTGGGAAAAAAATTATTTAAATCTAAAATGTTGAGAGTGAATTCTAAACCCATTGGTCATCAGTCTGTGCCTCGCTCATTTTAGAATTCTTTCTCTTGGCTAGACACTTTTGTTCCCACATGCTGCCACCAGGTGTCAGCATCACCCATTATTTTCTGTCTCACTAATAGTTCTGCGATTTTGGGAGGAGGAAAAGCAAAAGGGATAATAGTTGTGTCTTTTACTCACCTCTACAGTAGTCCCCTGCCCTTTTCACCAAGCTGGGTATGGTACAAAGGCTGGGTATCAGTATATGAATGTGATCATCAGTCCCCATTTCAGATAAGGAAATGAAACTCAGGGAGAAGACGGTGCCAGAGGCCACAGGCCCAGAGAGAGTGAACTGATCCAGGACCCACAAGGCCTCTTTCCAGCTAGAGAACGAGGGTTGTCCAGGCGCTTGTCCCCAGGGTGTAGACCCATGCAGACTCACAGCCCCCACCTTGGGTTTCCCCAGGGCCAGGCTGTCAGGAGGTCACCCCGCTGGTCTCCCCCTCCCAGGCTATCTGAATGTGCTGGTGAACCAGGGCTGGAAGGAACGCTGGTGCCTCCTGAAATGCAACACTCTGTACTTCCACAAGGATCACACAGACCTGCGGACCCATGTGAATGCCATTGCTCTCCGTGGCTGTGAGGTGGCCCCAGGCTTTGGGCCCAGACATCCATTTGCCTTCAGGATTCTGCGCAACCAGCAGGAGGTTGCCATCTTGGAGGTGAGAGGAGAGAATCCGGGTGGTTCTTGGTGGTGGCAGCTGAGAGGAGGTTTGGCCTGGGTGTGGGCTTTTGTCTTGGGGGCCTTGCTAACTGACATTACAGGGACTGAGGAAAAAGGGAAAGTAAGCCCACCTGCTGCCAAATGACCGAGAATGACTGCCAGTGAAAATATAGGACACCCACTTAAATTGGAATTTCAGATAAACGACAATGGTTTTAATGCAAGTATATCCCATGTGATATTTGGTATATACCTATACTGAAAAAGTATTTGTTGTTTATCTGAAAGTCAAATTTAACAGAGCATTGTGCATTTTTATTTGTTAAATCTGGCAACCCTAGAACCGAAGTTTGTTTATTCTCCCCTATCTTAAAATCCCAAGCCTGAAAGGCATCTAGTCTGATCTAACCTGGATCTGATTCTGGAATCCCCTCTAAAACCTTCCCACCAGTGGCCGGCTGCCTCAGATCAACCACTGCTCTTCAAGGCAGCCTGCCCCTCCCATGAAGCAGCTACATTTTTAGAAAGGTGTTCTCCACACTGAGTTGAAATCTTTAAGCTCCGTGAAGGCAGTAACCATGCCTGTTCTGCATATTTTTGGTTTTTCCAGAACCCAGCATGATGCCCAGCCCATATTAAAGGCTCAATTACTATTTGTTGAACAAATGGCTGAATGAAAATGTGATTTCATCCCACCCATTCATGGTTGTTCCTACCCAGTGGCACTAGCCCTCCTTTCTGAGGTCCTGCACAATGCATGGAGCCTCTCCTCTACATGTCCCTCATTTGGCTTTTTAGGATTTACAATGTAAACACTGGAGGGAAAGTTCAAGAACTACCCCCTCATATTACAAACAGGGTAACTGAGGCCAGAGCAGCCAGGTGCTTTGTCCAAGGCTCCAAGGGGGGTCAGAGGCCTCTTGGCCTGATCCTAGAACAAAAACCCAGCCTCTTGATCTTGTTTGCTTTGCCCAGTACCCACTGCCTCACCCAGTTCTTAAATTTCAAGAAATATTGCTTTGGTCACTCACTTTTATTTTTGAAAGGTTGAGAAGGGCCTCTTATTTCTCTTAAATTAAACACAAAGCTTTCTGGCGAGAAGTGTGCTTTCTTTATTCAAGTCTAACATTTGTGTGCTCAGCTGATTTTATAAGAATGCTCTTTAAATGAGAACTACCGAGAACTATGGGTTCAGTTAACCAGCAACTCTTGGCAGTTTTCCTGTACACTAGTACTACAAATAATTGGCAGTTATAAGGGAAAAATTTCGATTGGGTTATGTGAGAAATAGTCTCCTCTAATAAAAAAGTAATTTTTTTTTTTAAATTCAGGGAAATCCAAATGTTGTTTTTGCCTCTAAATGGTCATGAAGACTCTGAGGATAGTGAGTGAGGGTGTGTGTCTTAGAGAGGTGGTCAGGGAGGGCTTCTCCAAAGAGGAGCATTAGAGCCAAAACCTGAATAAAGAAAGGGTGGAAGCCACTTGGATTTCTGGGTGTGTGTTGCAGCCCTGTTCCTCTTGGACCCCTAGGTATTGGGTACATAGCAGGTACTTTACAAATATGGGTTTGGCTAAAGTGAGTAGGTAGCCTGAGGCCCTAACAGTACCAAAGTGAACTCATCAGCCTGTGCCTCCTCTCCCTCAGGCAAACTGCTCAGAGGACATGGGCCGCTGGCTTGGGCTGTTGTTGGTGGAGATGGGCTCCAAAGTCACTCCCGAGGCACTGCACTATGACTACGTGGACGTGGAGACCTTAACCAGCATCGTCAGTGCAGGGCGCAACTCCTTCCTGTGAGGGCCAGCACCCCCCAGCCCCCCCCCCGCCCCCCGGCAGCCTCTCAGAGCCTCTGAGTCTGGCCATGGGTGCTGGGAGGGGAGGGAGGAGGAGCCGAGGAGGACTCTGCTTCCTTGGGAAGTCAGAGTGGGTGCCTCCCTCCTCCAGCAGGCAGGAGCGAGCTGGCTAACGGAGGTAGCCCAGGGTTGGGGGAAGCTGTGGATGCAATGAGCAAAGGAACAGAAGTCCTTCTGCGTAGTGACTGGGGCTGGGCTCTCACGCCGTGGAACTCAGGGTCTCACACCCTTGGCCATCAGGGCTGGTCCATGCATTGGAAGAGCCGGGTTCAAGTCACGGCTCTCACGACCAACAGCTTGGGGTGGTGGCTTGCCAGCTTGGACCCGCTGTGTCCTCGCGTATAGAATGGAGGGGATGAATTACTCACCTCTCGGGTTGCTGTGAGAATCATGGGGCTCCCTGCCTCTGAAGTCCTTAACACAGCAATGGCCCAGCGCTGCCTGGCGTGGTTGCTGTTACTAACCTTCCAACACCCATCACAGAATCAAATGAGAGTAGACAGGAAAGCTCTGTAAGCCACAAAGTGTCATCATCATTGCCATCATCATGACACCTTATATTTTCTAGATATGCAAGATCCTGCCAGGATCAATGGCCTGAGCCCCGTGTATACGATGATGTTCCTTATGAAAAGATACAGGTGCGCTCCCTTGGGAGGGCTGGGAATGTGGCAAAGGCCACTGATTTAGCTCTTCCTCTCTCTCTCTGTCACCACTCCTTTTTTCCTGCACATCAGGGATAATTTCCATTTAAACAGCAGCTGGAAGGAGAGGGAGGACCCTTCTCATCATAGATCACGGCTCTGGGTAAGGAATCCCCGGGAGAGGAGGCAGGGTAGTACAGCAACAAGCCCCTAGATCAGGAAGGGAGAGGACTCTGTATACTGCAAAGCACTACACCGGTCTGAGCAAGGTGTTGGTCCCTCCACCGGTTCGCTGCTCTGTGAGCTGATGCTGCTGACTCAGTGGTGCGTGGGGGGCAGCCACTCCATAGACCCTCACCTGGTGGCGTCACGGTCCGGGCCTCAGCTCCCAAGACAGAGTCTCCCTGTCTTGTTCACTAAATCAAGGAGAGGCCAGTGAGGCCTCGGTAGCCATCACATGAACAGACTGCTTCCGGCAGCGTGTCCTACGTCTCTTCCTCCCACGGGAGAGCCAGACAGCCACATTCTGATCAGACCCTGGTGGGTGCGTCAGGCCTCATAGCTGGGGGAGAGAAAAAGAGGGGATCAAGCTGCCAAAGAAAGCAGACATGTCTGCACGCCAGACCCCTGCCTTGGACAGTGCTGGATGACACCGAGCTCCCACCTCTAAGACTCCCTTTCCTAGAAACTTCTCCATCCTTCTTCTGCTTATATGGTCTTTCTTCAGATTCAGATGAACCAGTGGATGCAGCTTGAGATCTTTCTCAGTTGCAGTGATTAGTAGCCAGATAGCTTAGTACCTAACGGCATGAACTTTGAATTCAGGGCTGAATCTGGGTTACCTTGGGCTTCACTTCTCTAGTCCTCATTTCCTGGCTCCAGACGAATACTATAAAACCTACCTGATTGGATCACTGCAAGAACTAAATGAAATACTGTATGGAAAGAGCTTAGCAGCACGTAGACATCAGAAGCTCTCACATGGAGTAAATAGTACTATTGTTATCAATATCATTATTATATTACATTATTATCATATTCCATTCATGGTTCCCTGAGCTCTGACTGGATTCTGGGTGTTCTTAATACTCTTCATGCACAAATGTATAGCCAGTTTCACGGCGCCTGGGTGGCTCAGTCAGTTAAGCGTCTGCCTTCCGCTCACATCATGATCTCAGGGTCCTGGGGTCGCACTGGAATGTCTGGCTCCTTGCTCAGCGGGGAGCCTGCTTCTCCCTCTCCCTCTCCCTCTGCCTCTCCCTCTGCCTCTCCCCCTGCTCGCACACTCTCCCCTCTCTCTCTCAAATAAATAAATAAAATCTTTTTTAAAAATGTAGAGCCAGTTTATTAAGTTATGAACTTCCACCATTGGCTGATGTCATCCACGACTTTTTATCTTAACTGGGAGCTCTACATTTAGCAATTTTAGAAAATTTGAAGGACACTTCCAAATGATGTGAAGACAGAAATAGCTATGATAAATCAAATATGGTCACCCACAGCCCTCTGAGACTTCCAAATTTTCCTCTCAGCAGATATTCCAGTTTAGGGATGCCTTCTGCAGCCCCCAACAGGAAGGTATGAGGATCAAATGATACACGCTAGTAGAAGTAGTCTATAAAGTGTTGAGTGCAGCCCCAGTCTAAAAACGTAAGGCCACAATCTCAGAGGTCCTGCAATGCTCACCCACCACACTTGGAGCAGAATACAACCCTGCCTGGAGGGCTCTGAGCCTACCTGCCCTTCACCTCCTTTCTCCATCTCCCGCAGGACGAGGAGCCCGAGCGTCCCGCGGGGGCCCAGGTGAAACGCCATGCCTCCTCCTGCAGTGAGAAGTCCCATCGAGTGGATCCGCAGGTCAAAGTCAAGCGCCATGCCTCCAGTGAGTTCTGGGTGGGACCGAGGAAGGGAAAGAAACAATCCACGGGGTTGGGGATCTCAAATCAGATTCCTCCAGGCAGTGGGCAAGTAAATTAAGGAGTGAAGCGAGATGTAAGAAAATACTCTACCGTAAGAAAAATGACAGCACAAGCCAAGAGCTAAAGGGCAGCTAGGCTGTGGCCTCCGAGGGGGAGCAACAGGGAATGGGGTGGGGGGAAGACTGTGGGAACCTGGAGTGCTCAGCCTCCACCTAGAGAGGCGGCTACTACTCAGCTTCAGCCAGTGGCTCCCACGGAACCTGGCAGCCCAGGTTCGCAGATTATTCGAGACCAGAAATCTAGCCTTTATAGGAAATCTACTGACTTCTTAATACTAGCAACTACTTTTCAAAAATTTTAACACGAAGGCCAAATACGTTTTTATGCTGCGATGTTGCATATATATGGATACACATATATACACATATAAAATTCACCCTCAACTTCTGTCCGTTCCAAAGGCTAAAAACATTTATAAATTCTGATCTGGGGGAGCAAGTGGAGAAACGAACCCCTCCAAATACCCTCAAGGCAGCTGCCGTGAAGGGCACGGCTCACCTCTGTGTCCCAGCCCGCGCTCTCCCTAGCACCCCATATAGGAGCTGAGTGAATTTTGCCTGATTGCCACACTACGCAATAAAGGCTAAGCATGCCAGACTCTGGTCAATTCTGTTTGATTTCCGACACTAGTCTCTGCTCCTACACGTGATTCACGAGCCGGCCGGCTTCCTGTAGGACAGCATATTCCAAGAGCCTTTTAGTTATTGCTTTACAGTTCTTCAACAAAGAACTGTACAAACAAAGTCAAGTTCTATTCCTTGCTTTTTGAAGATTTATCTTTTAAAGTACTTTTCTTTATTAGATCTCCACTTCATTAATGTAGATAATCTCTTCTGGGGGTCAGGAGACCTGTATTCCTTTCCCCACTTGATCACTAAATTACTACGTAACTTTGGAAAAGTCCCTTCCCTTCTCTGGGCCTGAGTGTGCCCCCTGCACAGTCAGAGGGTGGTTGTGTCACGTTCCTTACACTCTGCTCTCATCGGCACCACCGGAAATACAGGGCTTTATGGAATGCCCATTTTCAAATGGAAAAGTAGGGGTGCCTGGGTGGCTCAGTCGGTTAAGCATCTGACTCTTGATTTTGGCTCAGGTTGCGATCTCAGGGTCTGAAATCGAGCCCCACATTGAGCTCTGCGCTGAGCATGGGGTCTGCTTATGATTCTTTCTCCCTCTCTGCACCCCCAACTCATGCTCGTGCCCGCTCACTCTCTCTCCAAAAATTAAAATTAAAATTAAAAAATTAAACGGAAAAGTGAACTGAAATAAACATGTAAGATTAAAGAAACCATAAAGCATTCAAACAACAACAACAAAGATAACACAATAGATTCTTTCTTCAAATCAAATATTATATTGAGTGATGTATAAAAGAGATATAAAACACTGGGAATCACAGATGGTGGTTGGGGGTTTTAAGGTCCTTATCTGATAAATATAACACTGACAACACTTTGCTGGTCTACCCATTTATTTTTAGTTTACCAGTCTATAAAATCCAAACTTCTGGGAGAAAACTGCCCTGGGATGCTACTGTGTATCTGGGCAGTTGGGGGAAGTATGGGGCCCCTTCTCTGCCCTCCATGCTTTATTTATTATGATCAGGCTTGAACTGCAGGGTAGTTGGGACAGGAATTGATTTTTGCATGCATCACTGGGTGGCCACTGCCGTCCCTATGAGAGTTAGAGAGACAAGACCCCATAAATGGGGGTAAACCAAGGGAATCATTCCAAACGCCACACCCCACCAGCTTAAAAGGGCTATGAGTGACTGTCTGAAAAAAATGAATAAATAAAAACTTCCCTGAAACGTTGGACCATGGCATTGCCCCAGCTAGGGCCGTAATGCATGGCACAGAGCCCAGAGTTAGACACATGTGGGCTCAACCTGGGCTCTGCCATCATTAGCAGTGAGACCCGAGCTCTCTGTGCCTCAGAGCTAATATTAGTAAGTTTTATGAAGATTAAGTGGAAATGAATATAAATGGCCTAGCTTATAGTAAATGCTTGATAAATTTTTGCCATAATTATTTGTAATTATCCACCATAATGTAGAACCTGCAACAGACTTCTGGGCCCTTCTCTCCTCCAACCCATTTTCCTGGAATAAAGCAGGCAATACCTGACCCAAGGTCTTGATTCTCTGCAGCTCTGAGTTGTATGTCCCTGTCTCCTTGTCTTATATATACCTGAGAGTTGACTGTAAAATGCCCTTTTAAAACTAAAGTGTGTTATACATCACAAAATTTGTTTCATATCATTATCTGACATTTACTAAGCACTTCCACCAGATACCGTATCAAGTATTTTTCATGAATTCTTTCATTTAAAACTTACCACAATGCTGGGGTACCTGGGTGGCTCAGTCGGTTAAACGGCTGCCTTCAGCTCAGGTCATGATCCCAGGGTCCTGGGACTGAGTCCCGCATCGGGCTCCCTGCTCAGCAGGGAGTCTACTTCTCCCTCTCACTCTCCCTCTGTGCTCTCTCTCTCGGATAAATGGATAAAATCTTTAAAAAAAATTTTAAAAACTTACCACTATGCTAAGAGGTAAGTTTGATCAATGGTCCCACATTTACAAATGAGGAAACCAAGACCTGGGGGAAAGGCACAGAAACAGCGCAGTTCACTGTTGCCTGATGTCACACAACTAGTAAAAGGGGAAAGAGAACACAAACCTTGGTCTGCCTCATTCCAAAGCCCTTGTTCCTAGTCCCTGTGCTCTGCTGCCTCCCTTTTGCTCCTGTTTCCTTGGAGGTTTCACACACTAAGGATATAGATCTAAGTATTCCCATTTTATAGATGGAGAAGTTGAGGCTGAGAAAGACGCTAAGGCCCCTCCAAGTACCCTTACCAGAGATCAGAAATGGGGGCCTTTGCCTGCCTTCTACTTCTGCAGGTGCCAATCAATACAAGTACGGCAAGAACCGAGCTGAGGAAGATGCCCGGAGGTACCTGGTAGAAAAAGAGAAGCTGGAAAAAGAGAAGGAGACAATCCGGACGGAGCTGATGGCACTGAGGCAGGAGAAGAGGGAGCTGAAGGAAGCCATTCGCAACAACCCAGGTACCTACGTGGGCATGTCCTGGGCACTCAAGCGGGGACCGAGCTCAGCTCTGACACCTCCCGTGGCAGAGGTCAGCTGATTATCCAGGACAGTGCCCTTCTCCTCCCCTTCTTCCTCCTCCTTCTCCTCCTTCTCCTCCTTCTCCTGTTCCTCAACATCATCATCATCATCCTTCCTGACTAATGAAAGTGCCCTCAATCTAATAACTGCTTTTGGGTAAGGGGATAAAAAGGCATCACAAAAAAGTGTACACTTAATGTAGTAAAATTCAATCTGATTTTAGAAATGTTAAAATGAGTGTGCCTTAGAATCAAGGAAATAAGAGATATCATTTTGAACCTCCCAGTAAGTCACTCATTCACGGAAGGGCTGAGCACCCAACCGTGTGAGACACTGGTCCCCGTGCTGGGGAATGATGGACAGACACAGTCCCAGGATCCTCTCCCAAAATCCAGGGCCATGACTCCTGCAGGCCCAGCCTGCTCTGGGCTCCTCTGCACCCCACCTTCTGCTCTTTCCTTTGAATTCTCTCTATAGCTGTAGTTTGGCATACTTTCAGCATGAAGTTTGCACACAGGTTTGAGGGAACAGAAGCCTTGTCCTTTATAAAATACATCCAAGGTCACACAGCCCGGTGAGAGTCCGATGGAACCTATGGACCCTTTTCCCAAGGTGAAAAAAAACCCGCAGTTCGCAATGTCACAGACAGTTTCAGTAACCAAGAGCTCATGTGCCCCAGAGCTCAGCCATAGATCACCTGGGAATCCATACACCTAACAGAGAACTTCTACCTTAAAGGGTAAGGCTTTTTCTGTGTAGCCAAGAACCAGAATCTGTGGGAGGGAAGCATTAAGAGAAAAAAAAAAAAGAAGGCAGTTTGGTCTCAATACACAGAACTTTCTAAGAGTCAAAACAGGGTTTGGAACAGGCTGACTATCCTTATCCTGCTCAATTTTTTTCTGTAGCACATCACTTTGTAACACTGGATTATTTATTATGTTTATCATTTTTATTTATTGTTTTTTCTCTCTCTCATACACACACATACACACACACGCACACACACACACACACATATGAGCTCCATAAGGGCAAGGATCTTGGCCTGTTTTTTTTGTTGTTGTTGTTGTTTTTAATAATATATAATGTATTATTTGTTTCAGAGGTACAGGTCTGTGATTCATCAGTCTTACACAATTCACAGCGCTCACCATAGCACAT